ACCAACACTGGCCAAGCCTTGAGTTCCTATGCCCCTAAGATTCCATCTCACCCAGTGTCTTTCTATCTTTATCTCCAGCTTCAAATCTTACCTCTTCAAACCTGCCTTTGACCATCTCCCCATCGCCCGCTCCCTTACACAGTGCCAACCTGTGTCTATAAAGCACTCTGTGACATTGGACTATGTGATATGTGCAACATAAATGTAATTTGTTGTTGTTGTCCTGTAGAAGTTTGTTAATGTTAAACTATAACCGGTAGTTGTGTTCATGAGGTCTCTGTTATTTGTTAGCATCTACATGACTGATAAATAATCTTAATTCTTGACTGATATTATGCCTTTTATGCTGTGATTATATCTCAAAGCACTTTACAGGATTTACTGCAATGTATAGTGAATATGCATTTTGTGGGTGAAAGTGGCAGCCATTTATTCACAGCAATACCTCATAGCCAGGAAGTGAATGATTAATTTTATTCAGGGAATTCTTAGCCAGGAACCCAGAGAAACTCCCCTTTTCTAATAGTGCCATGAAATCTTTAACATCCACCCAAACAAGCAGCCGTGACTTTAGTTTAACATCTCATCCAAAAGACTGCATCTCCACCAATGCAATGCAGCCCCAACACTGCATTGGAATGACAGATTAGACAATATGGGTTCAAAGTACAAATGTTTGTCTTGAATCCTCAACCTTCTAACTCAGAGGCGAGAGTACCTCCGACTGATCCAGGCTGACACTGGTCCATTGCTCATAATTTGAAAGATTATGACTTATAACTTCCTTCAAACTTTTTTTTCTGAAATGAACGTTTTAATCATTTCTCTTTATATAGAACTCTAAAATCAGGAATCATTCCGATTGTTCCTATCTGTTGCCTATATTTTACTCATTTGGTATCATATTTATTACCTGGCAGGTATTTCTATGTTGTTACTGAAGCTCAGTGTCCTCATTTTTTTTAATTACTGGAATCCTCATTACTGCTGACATTCTGTCCCATTCTTTATTCCCTATATTCTGTGAAATGCTTTGAGATGTCTCAAAGATGTGCTAAGACACTACATCAAATGCAAGGATTATTATTATTATTAGCCTCATCTCGCTAGCTGTGATTGGATTATACAGTCTTGTAACCAAGCATGTTTGAATCTGCGTTGGCGGCAAGTCACTGAGCATCAATGTTCCTATGTCCTTTTTTAGCAGCCAAAGTTCTGTGACTTCCTGGACTATCTTTACCATAATTGCATTCTGACTTTCAAATTTGACCTGATGGAAATCTACCTTGACTCCCATGTATCCTTCATTTAGTTGAAAAATATTATTTTTTGTTTCAAAATGTACTGGGCAGTTATGGGATGGTATGATTGGGATGAGTGACTACCAAGCACTGCTTGTATACACATCTCATTACCTCAATTTCATTCTTATTTGTCTTTGTTCCAGTGTTTCTATAATTTTTGTTCACAGATATTACAATAGTACCTTTTGACTGCATCTGATATAAATAGTGCTGGATCATCCTTTGCATGAATTCCTCTGCTGTGTATGATACAGTTAAATGAAAAAGTTATAGAAAATCTGTTCCCGACTTACAAAGAACGTAATGTGTACCATCAACTTACATTAATTGAATTGAACTGTATTATATCAAGTACTAGGTTCTTTATCTCTCTGGAGATAAAGATATGTAATCTTGTTGTTGTTTGGAAAATTATGACTAATACATCTGGAATTTTCCACCCTAATTCTTTTAATACCCTGAGGTGGAATCTATCAGGTCCTGGAGAGTTGTTTATCTTTAGTCCCATTATTTTCTCCATTACCATTTTTTATTTATATTATGTCCTGTTGGTACTTTTGTTTGGCTTATATTTGTACTGCTGTTAATTTGTCCTCTTCCTCTACGATGAAAACGGAAACAAAGTATTCATGCAACAATCCTGCCATTTCCTTATTGTCCATTATAATCTCAACTTCATTTGTCTTTTACATCTGTTTTTAACGGGCCCACATTCCCCTTTACCACTCTCTTTATCCTAATACATTTATTAAACCTTACTGTTGTCGTTGATATCCCTTGCAATTTTTTTTCTCATATTCCTTTTTTGCACCTCTTATTACTTTCTTTGTATCTCTTTGTTGCTTTTTATAAGTCTCCCAGTCTTCTTGAGATCCACTTTCTCTTGCATTGGTGTAAGACTGTTCTTATGTTATAAAATACAGATTTTTGTTGCTATAATTCAGCCCTTCTGGCATTACTAGATTTATTCATTTTTGTAGCATTTTACATTGTCCCAAATTTAGCAAAATATTAAATGCAGCCTTTAATTTTCAAGCAGGTTTTCTGTAGGTTAGTTTTAAGAACCACAGAAAAATTATCTCAAAGTAAAGACTGAATTCAATAATTCACAAATTCAGTTTGCTCCAAAATGTTACATAAATAGAGTTGAAATGATCGTGTTGTCCATCTTTTATTCCTCAAGTTTGTAATTCATTTACCGCAATACATGGCTCGGGGTATCTCAAAATTGTAACAATGAAAAAAATGCTTTACTATTATATGGATTATCCTCACATGAAATACAACAACAATTTGCATTTATGTTCTCCCCTTCACCTAGATAACATCTCAGAGAGCTTAAATACATTTATGTACCGCTATATAATGGCTCTAAGCTGATAGCCTGCTGAGAACCAACTTAAGAATATATTTCACCAATTTAATCATCCATTGTTCTGTATTTATACTTATATTCAGGATACACATAGATATTTTCACTCACATTTGTATCAGATGTAGTCCAAATGTGTTTGCCTTTGGGTTCCACTGCTGTTTTCACCACAGAAGCACTAAGCTTCCTTCTTTTGCTTTAGGGAAGAAACAATTCATCCTGTGGTTTTCTCCATAGCAGCTGTCAACACCATGGTTTAGTCCCCAACAGGAGATGAGCTTATGCGAGGTGGGACTGGTGCTTGAGAGCAATGAGGATGATTCCCTCATGTTAGAAGAATGAGCAACGTGCAATGATTAGACAAACTAGGGCTTTTCAGTCTTGAAAAGATACATCTCATAGGGACCTTATATAGGTGTATAAAATTTTAAAAGAAATTGAAAAAGTAACACAACATAAGAACATAAGAAATGGTAAATGCAAAAAGACCAAGGTCCATCATGTTAGGTCTCCACCATCCTGGAGGTCGCATGGATATATGTCCCGAACTGCTTATGTACTGTAGAAAGCTATCTAATCCGTGTTTGAAAGAATCAACACTTCAAATCAAGATCAATAGTACATCCAGATTAATAGTTTAGGAAGCACAAAGGCAGTACAAATTGCAAAGGCCAGTTTCAGGGCAAATGGAAGGTAGTTGAGAAATGATAGTTGAGGCCCGGTGTTGGACTCACTTTTAGTTTAAAAAAAGCTTGATGCTGTAATAGGAGTAAAGTAGGGTGAGTATTCTGTAAGGATGTGATCAAATAGTTCAAAGGACGTTTGTCCTTTTGATCTTGTTCTAGTGTTTCTCCTCCCCATTATTTTCAGATTTGACCTAGTGTAAATCTTCCTCAACTTCCTGCCTCCTTCATTTAGTTGAAAAATATTAATATTTCTTTGAATTGTTGAATCATCTGCGCAGTTATGGAATACTGTGATACTGCATTGGTGGGTGAGTGAAGCAAACTGTCTGTTTAGTGCACTATGTTATTGGGCTTGCACATAACAGTACATTGAGAATTATTATGGGCAAGCAAGCTACTGCTTTCCCAAAGAAAATAGCTGAGGTTTAGTCTTTTGAGGTTGGCATTAGGCCCTACTGTTTGTTTGAATAATTTACAACTAAGAGCTACCAACTTGTCATTTTCATAATGCTTTTATGTGTAAAAGGGAAAGAAGACACAAAGAGGAATTTGACTGATGTATAGAGGGGTACAGGAGGGGTGAAGAATTATGTGGAATATAAACACACAGACTAATTGGGCTGAATGGCCTGTTTCCGTACTGTGGTGTTCATTATAATCCTTTGTAATTCCCAACTTTGGAAGTGACTATTTTTTTAAGAGAAAAGATATTGTTGGACAGAATATATTTTCCCTCCCAAAGGGTAGACAATATAAGGAATCAGCTCCCAGATAAAGCACTTGATGAACAATAGCAACAACAAATTATAATTTTTATAGCACCTTTCACATCGGGAGGATATCCCAAGGCGCTGAAACACACGATGAAATCAATCAACATGTTTTGAAAATAATTCGATAAATATACTTTGAGGAAATTAATTGAGAAATATAAGGAAATAAATGGTCAGAGATAACAATAATGGCAATTTCAGAGAGAATCATAAACATTTACAGCACAGAAGGAGGCCATTCGGCCTATCAAGTCTATGCCATATCGCAGGGCAAGGTGCTCACTCAATCCCACTGCCCTGCCTTATCCCCACACCTCTTCAAGACTTTCTTTCATAATACACCATAATACAAACAGGCAAATGGCATCTTGGTTTAATATGCCCTCCAAAGCACAGCGGCTCAAATAATGCAACAGCCCTTCCCTGTTATAGCATTGCAGCAGACTTGAGTCCCAACATCCCAACATTTTGCTTGAACCCCATAGCATTTTTGACCTAGAGGCAAAAGTGCTTGATAATCCTCGGAAGGGAGAGGTGTACAGGAAAACAGTAGAGTACATTTTCTAGAAGAGGTTCGAATGCATGGGAAAGGAGAAGTACAATAACAGGATAGTTGTGGATGGATTATAGAAAGAGCTTGTATTTTTATTAGCATTTCTTGTTTCAGCCTTTCTCATTGTTCTTTTAATTGATGATAATAATAATGTTTAATATTAAAGTTATTCTTTCATACAGAAGGCCTGCACTGACGAATTTACTCTGTATTTGTGCAAATATTACTAGTTATGAGCTCTTCTTTTGCTTGTGAATACGCTGGAAGGAAATAGGAATATAATCTGTGAAATCTGTGATTGCTTTTTTTTAGGTGCCTTTGTGAGACAGGTGACAGCCACAGATGCTGATGACCCCACATATGGAAACAGTGCCAGAGTGGTGTACAGTATCCTGCATGGACAGCCCTACTTCTCTGTGGATCCCAAAACAGGTAGTTATTTATCCCTTTGGGATTAATATTACGTTATCTCAATGTTTATCCAAAAATACTTTTACTCAAAAACAAACTCAATAAGGAACAAGCCTGCTGCGATAATTATTTAGGAACTGTAAGCTGTCAGGCTACTAAGTGTATAAAATCAATCCAGCAGTCAACAGCAGGGGCTCCGTAATATCTGCAAGATATTTCAGAAAAATACAATGTCTTAAAGACCATGCTCAAATGTGAATGCATTGGAAGTTAAACATAGTCAGACAATGGCCACATTCTTTCACACCTCACACTTGAATAAGTCCTTTGAAACCCCAATGAACTTCAAGGATTTGCTAAGATCAAAGCCTTTTGTTCAGATGTGAGCAGACTCAGTGATATCAACCAAAGATATGGGATCAACTTCTCTGTGTTTATTGATGGCATCCAAATCTACTTTTCCTCCTTTGGCCTCGACCCCATGTTGACCAATTGTTCTGTCCTTCTGCTTGTCTGACATCAAGGCCCGGATGAGCGCCAAATTTCTGCAGCTGAATATGAACAAGACAGAAGCTATACTACTTGGCTCCTGTTAATGTCTTCTCACCTGCGGCTTGGGCCTCCTTAAGCTCTATCACCCATCCCTCAGACTTAATGAACCTGTGCACAACATTTGACAACAGGTTTGATCCCTGGTTATCTTTACTACCTCACAGCTGGTCCCTAACCAATGCCACTTTCCTCCACCTCTACCAAGTAACAGGAGCCAAGATCACCTACAAATCACTTCAGGTCCTCAAACCTCTGTACCTCTCCAACATGTTCACATCCCATTCCTCTACTCACCATATGAATTCAGCCGGCTCAATTCTTCTACACATCAGTAGACCTCATCATCAGCATCCGTGCTTTCAGCCACTATGTCCCGAACCTCTAGAACTCCATGCCTCAATCCCTCTGCCTTGTGTTCTCTTCCGATCACACCTGAAGACTTTTCTCTTCCACTTTGCCTATGCTCGCTTCCCTTTTCTACCCAGCTCTGTGTCTAACTCCACCATTGTTCAGCGATCCATGACAATGCCCCACATAAAGGGCATTATATAAATGCAAATTGTTGTTGATGACCAAAATAGCTTATTTTCTGGAGATTGAATGACAATGTTGACCAGGATACTGGGAAAAAAAACCTTTCTTTATTTCGAGTAGTGCTGTGGGATAATTAATGTTCACCTCAACAGGCAAAATGGACCTTGATTTAACAATTTGTCTGAAGGATGGCACCTCCAACAATGCAACACCTCCTCACCCCCCGCACTATATTAGAGCGTCAACTTAGACTAATGAGTTCAAAGTCCCAACATGTGGCTTGAACCCACAACCTTCTGATTCAGAGGTGAAAGGACTATTGTCTGAGCAAGGCCAAAACTATCAAAACACTCCTCCCTCCCACCACCACCAGCAAATTATAGAGGCTCGACTGTATTTCATTATGAATTCATGCTAAGTAAGCCTAGTATTGAGGCAGACTGAAAGCTTATGCTTTTATTCTTTCAGCTTTAGCTTCATGAAAAAATCATGATTTTCTGCAACGGATGTCTCAGAATGATTAGCCTGTGGGGACCTGAGCTGTCTGACAGGCACAGCGCTTGGGGCTTCTCTGAGTTGTTGCTGTGTTTCTCAGACACTGGACCTGACTTCCTTCAGGGCTTTTGTTGGAACAGATACAAGAGATACATTAAATGTGTTCAGGCCACTTTTTTTATATTCCTTTATCAGTAAATAGGAACCCAGTTGTCAGTCGATTGGCGGATCGTTTTTCCAGGGGTAATAATCCCTTTTAAAAAAATTATAACAATAATTTGGTCACTCAATCCACAAATGTTGGTGGGACACTGCTGTGCACAATTTGCTGCCGCGCTTCGCCCACAAAATATACAGTCAATTCACTTTACAGTATATTCCGTGAAGATCTTTAAGACAGCTCGAAGACGTGATAGGGACTATATCAATTGCAAGGATTATTATTATCTTTCTCATGTCATGAATTGAGATTCTGAATAGTGCACAGATTTTAATTTGTTCAGGTACTATCAGGATAAAGTAATTGGTGAAAATACAGTCACTCTTAATTACAATAAAATGTCCTGTGAAATGCTTTCAGATGTCATGATGTGCTAAAGTGCTATATCAAATCCAAGGATTTTTATTATAACATGTTCTCTGCAGTGTCCATTATTTTGGGGTTGATCACTGCACTGAACTTTCAATTTTTATGTAACCGTATTTCTCTTATTGTTTGACGTTGATACTGGCAAGGTGGCAGACCCATTCTGTTGTTGATTTTCTTATTATGCACAAGAGTAGTATCTGTTTGGCTCAATTGGCAGCATTCTTGCCTACGAGTCAGAATTATGTAGAATTGCATAGGTTGATGCAGTACGTGGACAGACAATTTGGTCTGATACAACTTGCACTTATATAGCGCCCTCCATGCAGGGTAGCATCTCAGAGCACTTAATAGTGGTGGAGCCTGATTCCCAGTCAGGGGGATGGGTAAGGTGGCCGTAAGTACGGTCGAAGAGGAAAGTTTTCACGTGGATTTGAAAGAGGAGAGAGGAGGGGCAAGGCGGAGGGATTGAGGAGAGTGTTCCAGAGTTTTGGGGTGTAGTGACTTCCGATGGTGGGGCAGAGGGTGTGACGGATGAGCAGAAGGCTGGTGCCAGTTGAGGGGAGGCCCTGGGTGGTGGAGTGGGGAGTGAGGAGGTCAGAGAGGTAGGGAGGTGCCAGGAAGTGAAGGGATTTGAACACGATTAGTCCTTGCCAGTGCTTATAATCCACATAATACTCCAGCATCATAAATTCCTCTCAATTTTTCCTCTATTCTCTTTTCTGTCAAATATGCATTAATTCTTCTCTTAAACATTTTTTCTTCAATCCTTCAATCACATCTTCTGGTAGGGAGTTCCACATTCTCACCACCCTCTGCCTATATGTACTTATAACCTTTCTTTTAGATGCGCTACTGGCTATCGTATATTTATCTCCCCTCATTTTGGACACAATAACAAGTGGAGGTTGAGGGTTTAAGCCCTATGTTGGAACTTTAAACTCATAATCTAGTATGATTATGACAGTCTAGTGCAGGGCTGTGGGAATGCTTCATTGGTGGTGATGCCATCATTCTGATGAGATGTTAATCCAAAATTATTTTGCTGGTTCAGATGGATGTTAAAGATCCCATGGTATCACTTAAAGGGTGAAAGGAGTTTAATCCAGTGCCCTGGCCAACAATTTTCCAGATAAAATGGATTATTCTCTTCCTGGCTGTTGTGGGACTTTGCTGTGTGCATATACAAGAAAACTATCCAGAACTCCGCAGCCCTTGTCTTTGCCCTCACGAGGCTCCAGCATCCTCAAGCTGGGCCTTTGCCTCCCCAAACCCAGTGAATCAAGTTTAAGATCCTCATTCTCATTTTTAAATCCCTCCACTGTCTTGCCCCACCCTATCTCAGCGAACTCCTCAAAATGTACCAACCAGGCCATTCCCTTCCCTCAGCAGGCACTGACCTGCTTCACATCCCCTGGTAGAAAAAGAACAATTTGCATTGCATTTCATATTCACCCACAAAATATACAGTCACTTCACTTTACAGTAAATCCTGTGAAATATGTTGAGACATTTTGGTGCTATTAAGTGCTCTGGGATGCTACCCTGCGAGAGGGGTGCTATATAAATGCAAGGATTATTATTAAAGTGTGTATATATACTTGATATACCGCCATACTTGATTCAAAAATAGTGCTAGATTTGGGAATTAGTTTCATTTTGATTATTCAACTAATTCAATTCAAAGCCAATCCTATCTCAATTTTTGATCTATAGATTATTGTTGGCGGAGTTAGCTGTGTATTTATTTGGATTATTCTATAAATAAATCCACTGTGTTATCAGTGGATTCGAGTATTGGACATTTTAGGAGATTTAAGGCACGCATTTCCACTGGTAAGAAGTGTGCGCTACTAATGAGATTCATAGTGGAAGGATTTATCAGGATATATAAGTATATAGTCAATTCAGCTCTGTCCTTACATGACCTTTCTATGATTATTTTTATATGTTAATGAATCCCCTCAGTGAGTGTCCTTGTTATGTTGGATGATTCATTAGTACAGTACAAACAGTTCAGTGACTGAGAGGCAAAGTTGAAGTAAATAGATGACACTGCAGTTTGCTGAGCTAAGCTATCACTATTTTGTGTACATCATTTTACAGAATTGTTTGGACACTTATTTCTCCTTAGGGAGGTGAGTATTTTTAATTAATCTACTGTAACTTTTTAATTGAACCATTGAAATAGAGCAGCACACATTTTTACAAGGGGTATGTTTTATAATTTGACACAGATGTTGGCAATAACTCATAGAAATATATTCCATATCTCTGTGAAGAACACAGCACTGCTATTGCTTGTTCTGTAGTCTTAACAGAAGCTTGGTTTATCGTTTTGGGGTGGAATTAGATTACAATTTTTCTCCTCTCCCGAAGGTGCTGACAGTGTTGGTCTTTAGTTCCAATGGACACAAACTGCCTTCCGGTACTTCTGCAAATTGCCTTTCTTCAAATCTGAGCTGAATTAATAAGTGAGTGAGTGAGAGTTGGGAGCTTATTCACCTCTGGTGTTTTGCTTTGGTCAATGCTATCTTCTCTGTTGTCCACATAGCCAGACCTTACCATTTGATCTCACTCGAGAGAGATTGGGAATGGTAATCCTAGTTCTTTAACCCTCTTTCCTTGCTCAAGGTGATCAAAGCCTGCTGACATCAGTTAAATCAGCACGCACCAGAAATTGTTCTGTACTGGGTAACACACCAAACCAAAAAAGCAGATGATACAAAATTATACCTTCTTTTTGCCATTTCTTTCCACTCATATTCCAGGTCTGATACATAACAATTCATATATCTACATTTGAAGTACCACTTCAAAAATGCTCCCTTAAATTGACTTAATTTGAAGTGTA